CTACACCGGGGTTTGCTACACAAGCACAGCATCCAACGGCAGGAAAAAGGAAAGGAAAAGGGAAAAGATCCTAATGGTTGCAGAAAAGAAGTCAGATACAAGTGACTGCAAAGGCTGCGTTTCAATGACCATCCCATCTCAAAGCGCCTCGAGCAGCCCCTCTGCGCCACCGAGCCCTTGGCTTGCGTTACCGCAGCGTGAGCGTTTCTCTCTTACACTGTTGTATGTGTGTTGTGACTTCACCCGAGGGAATGACTCACTGTGATCAGTGTGAAGTGTTTCAACATGCCTGGGCTGAAGAAGCAAACTCCTGCGGGTTTCAAGGTTCAATATTGCGCACCGGTATAGCTTTGATCGTTTTTACAATGTATTCCCAAGAGATAAAGGATCTCTTCTGACAAAACCTTGTAATGAGTCACGACTGGAACCTTTATTCTTCCTTTTTTCATCACATCATCTATCATTACTTGTCCAGTCTTCAATCAATTCTGCCCAGATTTAGAGCTTCCCATTCAGTCCTCGCCTTCTTGTCCCTTAACACCAGGGGAGGAACAGGGAGGAAGGAAGAGCAGCCACCTCTGAACCTCAGCACTACAGATGGGGTGAGCACGGGTGGGTGCTGCACCACAGCCCCCAGGGCACCCGCCAGCACCTGGGGTACCTGCAGCACTGGCGGCGGATCCAGCCTTGCCCGTCATTACAGTTATATTACACCTATTGCAAACTGTTATAGACCTGCTCCTTTATCTGCGGGGTTGTCTCACCCCCTTACACAAGCAGGAACTGAAGTCACTTCCCCAAACAGACACCCTGAGTGGGAAATCTCAACTGGGGTGAACACCCCCAAGATGTTCATTTGGGATCTGGCAGCCAAACCCACCATAACCATGGCCAAACCCCCTGCCAAGCATGGATGGAAACTCCTGCTTCCCTGGTCCCTGCATCCCCATCCCACTGCGACCAGTCCTGTCCTTGCAGCACCCACTGCCCTCGAGCTGGGCTCCTTGGTGGCCATGCTCTGTGTGGCAGCTCTCTGCCGGCCCTTCTCCTTTCACAGCGGGGAGAGGGGAGCGAAGCCCACTGCAATAGAGACATATGCAGATCACACCATTAAATTTTTATGTGAATTCAAAAAACTCCATGTTGACTTCATGACGCAAATAGGTATGAAAATTCTGGTGAGCACGCTCATTGTTACCGAAATCAAATGGCTGAACAGCCACTAATGAGGCAGACAAGAAGCTTCACTCATCCTCTGAGGATTTGAAGGCAAGAAGAGAAGAAGGAGAGCATTACATTATTCATGCTGCCTTGTTTGAGTTTCAAATCATAGGAAGTCACAGCAAAGCGGGATTTGGGATCTGCTGGACTCACCGTGCTTGGGGGGGGCTGTAAATGTCCTGTCCCCTAACTGACAACCACTGACTGCCAGTGTGGGTCTTGTGTGGCTGAAGCAAGAAGGGGGTCCCCAGAACCCTGTGACATGCCTGGGAATGCGCCAGGATGGGGGAGATGCACCAGCAGCACCCACCAGAGCCACTGCTGGCTGTGAGAGGGCACCCAGCCCTCTCCCTGCATGCACCTTCCCTCCCGGTGCCCCTGCAGCGGCAGGAGCGGGTGTGCTGTTGGGAACTGTCGAAACCACTTCATATTCTGCAGGTGCAGAGTCCTTTTAGAGGGCAAGAAGAAAGGAGGAAACAACCGGGCTCGGTGATCTTAAAGGTCTTTTCCAACCCAAACGATTCTGTGATTCTAACTGCTCTAAGGAGGCGAGGGGGCAAGTGTTCCATAAAGCAGGGATGAAGCTTATGGGGCATCTGTTGCCCAGGCTCCCACCACGAACAACCGGATTCCCGGAGTACTTCTGCATTTTGCAATTATTACTTATCCATAAAAATCCCTTCTCCCTCCTGCCAGCGTTATCTTAGTAAATTTTATGGGTGCTCATGAGGTTAATGCAGAGCCATCAATCTGCGGCGGGGGAGAGCGGAGGAAGCGTCCGTAAATCTGCTGGAATCACTCCGGTTTGTTTATTTAATGGAATACTGCTTCATGGGAAGGCAGCGGGATCCTGAGGGGTACGAGGGGCTGGAAGGGGCTGTGCTCCCCCAGCCTGTCCCTCAGCACGGCCAACACGGGGTTAACACACACACACACACACACACACACACACACACACACACACCCCTCCAGGTCAGGGTGTATTTGCTTGGATTTTACATTGGAATCTGAAATCCACAGCTACAAGGAAACATTTATTTTCTTGCCCTTCAATGATCAAACAAGTGGCGCCGAGGCACAAGGAAGCGGAGTTTCCATTAGCAGAACTGGCTTTTTTTTTGCTGTAAAATATCAAATATTTTGACATTTCCATCAGCCTTTCCTTTGTATCAAAGCTTTAATGGCAGAATAATCTCCAGGCTTTTAGACTTCACAGGTTTTCAGATTTCTGAGCACTCCCTACTTTATAAGGGGACACTTCTGAAGGTACACGTTATCCCTCCCTGAGACCAAAGGAAAGGGAATAAAAACAAGAGCCCTGTGCAGACTCCAGGGGAAAGCTGATGGGCTGTGGGGCTGGAGCAATTCCTTCTCCCCACTGCTTTTATCAACAAATACCTGCAGCCACGGCGATTCCAGGAGTAAGATGCTCCCTGCGAGTGAAGGAGGTGGCCGGGGTGCCATGTCCTCAAAGCCACACAGGCCATTTCCAGTCAGCGGATCCCGTGGCTGGAATGTAGCAGCTTTTACAGGGGCCTTTAGGGACAGGACAAGGGCAATGGCTTTAATGCCACAAGACCGCTTCCCACGGGTGGCAACACCAGAGCAAACTGCGAGGCCCCTCCAGGCAGGGTTTTCTGGTCCCATGTAAAAGCTTTTCCGCAGCTAAACTGCTTTGATGTTCCTGTTTATTTCACTTTGATAACAATCTGCTTAACGCCTTGGGTCAAAGTCATTACAGTGCAATTAGGGTGGGTTGTTTTAGTGACAGGTATTTGGTTGCTGTGGGGTTAGCAGTGCTGCTGGGGAACGCTGGCTCTGCTGGCACCATGTGTCCCAGGCATCGCTCTCTTTCCCATGTGTTTTCCTACCCTCCCTGGCTGCTCCGCTGCCCTCCTGCTCTTCCTCCCAGCCCTCCACCCCTGCCTCTTCTTTGACCATTTGGACTCTCTCCTGCCTCTTCAGGACCGTGTTCAGTTTTTCCCTTTTCTGTTTGTTTCCTCCAGACATCAATTTTTCATGCTGGATAGCCAAGGATCATTAATTAATGATTCATGGAAATCCTGTGGCTATAATGCATAATTAGAGGCTGGTTCATAACCTGTTGTGGAGGCGGTTATCAGTAATTTCAGAATAATTAAGAGATGGTTTTTAGCACCTTTCAAAAGCCCGTGCAGAATCAAGTAGATGGGCTTATTTATTTCCCTTTAAAACCCAGCGACACACCTTAGTGGCCAAGTAGCAGCATTTCCTTTGTGGAAAATTCCATTCCCCATTTTGCAAGGGCCTGTAGGGACAGGACAAGGGGAAATGGCCCTGGCACAGGTTGCCCCATCCCTGGCAGTGTTCAAGGCCAGGTTGGATGGGGCTTGGAGCACCCTGCTCCAGTGGAAGGTGTCCCTGCCCATGGCAGGGGTTGGAACCGGATGAGGTTTACAGTCCCTTCCAACACAAACCATGGGCATCCCAGGGGCATTCCAGGATGGAATTGGCCCATGGCAGCTTGGCTTGGGTTATGGCTTCAGCACCTCACTGCCAGGCTGATGTATTCGTCAACACGGGAGTGACGATGAGCAGCAATGACGTGCTGGTTACGCTGATGAGAATTTACCCTGCCCTTAGCTTTGTTGTTTAGGAACCTGCAGACCTCAGAGAGTGGCTCCTGGGCTGTTTCCAAGGGGAAAACATCACATTCCCTCTTACATCAGGAGGGACGAGCGGGTCCAAGGAAACTCAAACAACTTGTTGAAGGTTTGGCAAAGGAATCCTCCTCTGCTCCACACTGCACAGTGCCAGGGCCAGCATGTCCCCCTGCTCCCCACCGAGGGACTGGCAGGGTCCCCTCACCTCACCATCGGGAGGTTTCCATCCCGAGCATCCCACAGCAAAGCATACACAGTCTTGCATTGTACAGGATGCCATGATGAAGCTTTCTAAATGCGATACTTGGATAATTATAGAGAGATTAAACAACGACAGCTCTCAGCAGGGGGGAATTACGGGTAAGAAAGATCCTGACAAGGAAATGACAACGAAGAGTGGCCCAAAGAGAGTTATTCCAGATTAATAACTTTGTTATTGGAGGCATTTCTTCTGTGTGTAAGGGCACACATAAATACACTCGGAAGCTTCCAGATGGCCACGCCAAGAGCTGAATTCATCATGCTGTGACTTGTTTTGTCAGCGTGTTCCATGGGCAGCAAACCCCTGCGGGGCTCCCTGTGTGAGTGGGGCTGAAGGAGCCCCAGATTCTCCCATAAAGGATGGAGGCGGCTCCATCACCCTGCAGGCACATGGAAGGGAGATGGTGCCGACAGCACCAGAGTGATGCTGGTCCAGTGCACATGGTCCGGGGCTGCCGCCCTGTATCCGGATACCTCCGGATCTGGCCCTCTCTCCCCAGGGATTTCCACTTTCCCCTGCTCACAGTGACTGATTCCAGAGGGCTCTCAAGGGCAGCAGCAGCAGCAGCAGCAGCATGCTCTGGAACCATGAGCCAGGAAAGCTGATGGAGGGGAGGATGGTTCAGGGCACCCCCAACATCATTGGCGCAGACCCCGAACGCTGACAGACAGCCCCAGCACCAAACCCTCCCTGTTCTCCTGTACTGCAGCACCAGAACCACTCTCCTCACACCTTCCCTACTGAGGGGATCACATTTTTTCCTCTCTTTTTCCCTCCTTTTTTCTTGTTTTACTACCACAGGGCGTTAAAGCCAGTCCTCCTATTAGGGGCGAGACATACTCAAAGCCTTAATGATAGATTAAACACCAAATACCTTAACATTTGAAAAATGACATTTATTATACAGAGTTGTAAATAGAGGGAAAAAATGACAATAGAACACAGTGTAGATCTTACATAAACTCCACCAGCTCTGTGTAATGACTATGATAATGTCAGTGCTAACAAGCACATAATTGGCATCACTGAGATAATTTTTGGCACCTTATGCAGAGGGGAAACTGTTCTGCATAATTATTTTACCTAGGAATATTCTTCATTTAACAGGTCTATTTGCATAACAGTTGGAACTTTTGAAGCTATAAAGGGTGTTTAATACATTGATTTGTTTTAGCCACAAATCAATTGCTTATTCATGAGAAATGGCACCTGAGGACTTTAATAATGGAGCCGCAGTGACCCAGTTGGAAGCCACAGGCTTTGATTGGATTTAGAGGTCCAGGCGGAGGCAGGATTAGCAGACCACTCACAAACGCCTAACGAGCTTTTATAGACCGTATAAAACTGAGTCATTCTCTGCAGTAAAACTTTATTCCTTCAGCTTTTACCGAGTTGATCGCTTCAGCATTTCAGGGCTGGTGACAGGCACCTGCCTGGTGGCTGCATGCCCCTAACGCACCCAGAACGGTGGCACCAGGGTCCTTAACTCTCCATATGAGACCTGCAGCCAAGGAGATGCCCTCAGGTTGGTTCTTCAAGCCCAGCAGCTGCAAATCACGCCCGTGACAGCAGGGGTTGCGATGAAGAGGATGTGTGGGGTGATGCATGCACGCCGTGCTGATGCAGGGATGGGAACTGGATCAGCGTGTACCAGGTCAGCAGTATCGGAGCGCTGGAGTGCAGGCATGAGAGCATTTTTCAGCCCAAGCACTGTCTTGACAGGTCAGGCTGATGAGCTCTCGGTGTCCAGGCAATGGCCCTGCTAACACATGCCAAGCCGTCTGGAAACATAAAAGATGTTGGAAGCCAGCCTTGGACTTCCATCACAAGCAGATACCTGGCCAAGGTCCAGTGCTTGGGGGGGCTTTCTCTCTATGGCTCCAGGCAACCCACATTCATCTTTCTTTGTCACCCTGACTCAAGGGAACCTCACACCACCCTTGCCAGGTCCCACACTATATATCAGAGCGATGTGCTTGTCCCTTCCCAAGTACATCTCCAAAGCAGGGAATGAACTCTGGCTTCGGCTGGGTGTTCCACCCCAAGGCTCGGTGTGCTCATCCACCCAGCTGCCACCAGCATGATCCAGAGCAGCTCCAGGGCTCGAGGGCTGTGTTGGAAAAGTTCAGATTCCCCACAGGTTACACTTTGACACTTACTTGGCTTCTCCATCGCTGTTTCTGAACCTGCTGGCAAACAATTCCTGTAGCAAGGAAAGCACCAGCTACTCTCTGACAAACACTTTACATCCAGCAAAGCACTCTTGACACTTGGAGAGAAGGGACCGTCACTTGAGAAGCTGCAATTGCCTGGAGTTTCCTTGCAGACACTCAACAGCTCCCACAGCCACGCTCCTCTCAGCCCTGCGCCTCGTGCAGCCACTGCTTACAAAGGAAACCCTCAGGGAATATGACTGTGAGCAAGAACTTCGCCAGAAACCAGCAAGTCGATAACAGGAACCTTTTAAACTCCGCTTTTATGGAAACCACATCCAGTCCTTTACATCCCACATCAAGAAGGCCAGAAAGCGCTGTTAGTAAATCACTACCGCAGCTTTGATTCTGCAAGGTCTCACGTATCCCTCAAGTTTCAACCTGTGAGAACTTCTATTGACTACCAAATTAATCATGTGCTTAAGTACCTTGCTGAACAAGAGCCCTAGAAATGACTTGCCAACAGTGTGACCACAAAGCAGCTCCACACTTCACCAGAGCAGAGCCAGGCTTGTGTGCAGTGTTGGATTCAGGAGCTGCAAACCAAAGCCCCATTCCCAAGGTCTCACCCTGAGCCGTTGCTTGTACGGGAGCTCTTCACCCAGTGATGGTGGAGACGTGGGAGCTGCAGACCGAGGCTCACACCCCTCGGGGATGCTCTGAGCTCTGCTCCCTGTGGCTGTGAGATTGCTGCTGCACTGGATTCCTGCTGGCTTCTCTGCTCCCTGACCAGCAAACCGTGCCCCAGCTGAGCAGCAGGATGCTCAGCGCGCTCCCGGTGCTGTGCAGTGTGTGCCTCAGCCTCCTCCTGCAGCAACACCCATTTTCAAAGGAGCCCTTCCTGGGCCAGCTGAAATACGTGTTAAACACGAGCAAGTGGCAGTGTTATCACCCCCTAGTAACACATGGAGAGCTCTGACATCAGTTTCCCTGTGAAAAAGCTGGCTCTGTAGCTCTGTTATTGATTATTGATCATGCTTGTCCATGTGTGTCCATGGATGTGGGGGCACGTTTGCCTCTGCCCCTCTGCAGGCCTGGGACTTTCAGCTCAGCTAACTTTTTAAGGATTACATTCCATCCCTTCCCAGACAAGGCTGTTTGCTGTAGTGAAGAGAGGTCCGCAGCGTGTTTGTGCATGAGATGTTTGACTTCTGACTGGGTTTTGATGAGGTCTCCCTACCTGCCCTTTTAGCGTATCTGCTGGAAGGAATAGCCTGTTCCGAGGCGATGGACTCGGATCCAACACATCACACATTCCATCTTCCAAGGCCACCTCCCTGGCCTCTAACGTTCTGCAGAATGCTCTGCTCTCTGCTGTTTATGAACTTGATGTGCAAGCTTGCTGTTCTCTTGATGTGCCTCTCGCCCTGGCACACGGGCCCCACGAGCGTGCCAGCAAACACCAACAGCTCTGCTCCATCCGCTGCATTACAAAGTCCTGAGCCTTAAATCATTGTCCTCATGCCAGGAGAGAGGCGTCCAACCTTGCGCCAGGCATTCGCAGGTGAGAGCTGGAGCTGCTGTGTTCCTCTCGTTGTGGGACCACAATTCCCGTGTCCCATTCACCCACCAGCTTGGCACTGCTGCTTTTATGGCTCCTCCAGGCCATCTGTCTCGGGATGGAGACCACGCTCACTCCTCTCGGATTTTTCCCCTTTCCAATTCCCAAGTCAGCTCTAGTTCAGCGGGCAGATTTATTGCTCCTCCTCCGTGCTCCCTGGCTCTGTGCCACGGCAGGGAAAATACCAGCTCAGGCAATATTCTGAACACAGGGAAACGCAGTGCTGCCCTGATGGCCATCGGCATCCAGTGACCCAGCTCACAGACATGGTTCCCCCGAGCCCCAGGGCACAGGATGGGGCTCAGCACCCAGCAATGGGCCTGTGAGCCTGAGGAGGAAGACACTCCCCAGGTAGATGCAGTGCAGAGCCCTGGTTCCCATCCCCAGCTCCGGAGGGCAGTAGGAATATCTCAGCACTGGAAGGATGGACCTGATGCAGGGAAAGCAGGAAGTCCGGGGAGCTCCGGCTCGCTTGGGATGAGGAGGAGATGGTCAAACTTGGCAAGATCCTGTGGGTTGGGGGCAAGGCCAGCAGCTGGGTAAGGCAGGATGGGAACCGGCCTCACAACAGGCTCCATGAAGGGGAATCTGGGGTCTGGCTGTTTCCCTCGTTCGGCTGATGGAGCCCATCTTGATTCAAGATGCTGAGGACATTATTGATCTAAACAAGTTGTCAGTGAAGGAGAAGTTGTAATTGCTGCTGTAGTTGCATTGTAACACACCAGCCCCGAAGGGAAATTAAAGTTTGTAGCTAATAGGGTTGTACGATCCTTCAGCCCTTGATGTATTGAATCTCGAGCAGCCCATGGAATACTGATTTGATGCACAAAGGATAACTTTTAACAGTGGCTGCACCTCCCGTTCCTTCCAATTCCATTCCCCTTCCAACCCTGTTAGGGGGGGAAGCTGCAGTGGCTCACCACGCACTAGCAGCATCAGATCATCGAGCCAGCATCCTCCCTCCTCTGCCCTTGGGTCTCCTGCTCCATCTCCCACATTTCTCTGAGTATCTGATTCTTGCTCTGTGACTAAAATAAGCAGGAATGATGTCCAGGATAAGGCAGTATTGCTTGTCGGGGGTGTGTGCACATGCACACTGTGAGAATTAGCCAGCACTGGCTCACCTCTGCATGGCTCCCTGCATGAGGGACCATTTCTTAGCTTTAAACTATAATAATTCTTCCAGTGCCTGGGGGAAGATGGGATCAGCACGCTGACAAACACGAGGAAATACAATCCCATGTCTAACAGAAGTGTGCCCATGACTTGCTGGCAGCATCCCAAGGATTTTCCAGTGTACAGGGAAATGGGTACCTTTGGATGCAGGGGTGGGAAAAGGGGGAATGGCTTTAAACCTCTGGATGCAGCACGTGTTGCATATGCACCTATGTGCACACACACCCCCCAGCCCCACGGCTGTCCCTGCTTTGGCTCTGCAGAGCCCGGCGAGGCTCCAGCTCCAGCTCCAGCTCGCCCAGCTCAGGCTGGGACTCCTCTCCCTCAGCTGCCACCGCTTCCGCCACCTCCGTTCACAGGGCAGGAATTCTGCGGGAGGAGCACCGCTTTCCTGCATTCAGCTCACAGCGAGGGTGCAATCAATGCCTCCTTGTCCCGCCTGGCTGTGGTTTCCTTAAAGAAGCAACTGCTGATGTCTCTGCCCGCTCCCCCGTTAACCACCTGCAATCATGAAGCAGGAATGTGCCCAACGCTCCTGCCGCAGAGGTCACTACCCAGGGAAGTTAACAGTCCTCCGGCTTTTGCCGGGGGACGTCGGTGTGGGGATCGGCATTCCCGGCGTGTCCCGGAGCCCATCCCGCTGCCCCGTCACCTCCCTCTCCAGCAGCCGGCCCTGGAGATGCATCTCGCCCGCCTCCACAAGACACTTGAATTCTGCGCTGTGCAGACACTCTCGCTAATTACTTCAGTTCATTAGTGCTGCAGGTTCCTCAACCGGCCCGGCCCGGCCCACGAGGACGTGCCGCTGCCCACCGGCACCGCACCGACACCACGGCGATGGGCACCCCCCGCTTCATCCCCGCCTCCCCAGCTCAGCAGAGGGGACCCCCGCTGCCCGGCGGGTCAGGGAGGCGCCCCGGCTCCTAAATCCCCGCTGAGGACAGCAGGCAATTTAGACCTGAGTGCAGCAACTAATTAAATCAATATGAGATAATGAACAGCAATTAGAGGTCCAGCTAGGCACATCTTCTCTTGTAAATACTGTTTCTCTCCCAACGGGAAGCTCTTTTTTAATAATCTGTTTGTGTTTCATTTCCAGGAGCTGTAATTCCCCAAAGAAGCAATTTGGGAAAGTGATTTGTTTGTCTGTATAATTGCCAAAGCACTTAGTTAGACTTGTTTGTTTTTCTTTGCTCCTGCTACTCCCAGAAAGAAACAATGCAGAGAGAGCCGGTGTCGTTTCCACTTCGTTCTGATCTTTGTCACCCTCTGCCCTGTGCTCCGGAGCTGGCTCCTGTCTGGATGCGAGGTGTCACCTCGGACACGGGCCCCATCGCCGGGGCTCGGGGGAGTGAGGACCACAGAGGCAAAGCCAGCCCGGCGCCGCGTGCGGGCCATCGGGATGTCGCCAGCCCTATTTAGCCCTGTGCTTCTGCAGAGCCTGACCCGCTGCATCCTCTTCATCCCCCCCTCACGGTGCAGGAGTTTCCCCACAGTCACTCCAGAGCTTTTTCTACCTCCCCCTGAGCTGCACAACCAGTCCAGCCTATCCCTCCCCTCAGACATCCAGGGTCCCTGCTCACAGCGGATCTACCTCCTCAGCTCACCGCACAGGGCAGGAATGCGACAGAAATGGCAGATGGGGTTGGGAATGACGGGCGCTCTCACTGGTACAGACATCACCCGGCAGCAAGAGGTGATGGGGCGATGGGTGGGAGCAAGTTTGAAATTGTCTCAGGAAGTGGAGCAATCAGGATGATTCCTGTGTTTCAGCTCCACCTCTGTGGGGTACATGTCCCGCAGCCTCATTCAGAACAGCACCCTCCTGGTGCTGCTGAGGGGGGGTGCCCTCGAGGGTGGGCTGGTTTCCTGGGGCTCCCATCATTCCTGGTGACATTCCCCTGCGTTCAGGAAGCAGCAGCAGCCCCTGGAGCCTTTCACATCCCCTCTTGGTCCATAGGACCACCGGGAAGCAAACCCCACCCCAACCGTGTCTTGCATCTGTGCCCAGGGATTTTGCACTGACCGGATGCTCTGGGACCAGCTTTTGGATGAGAGCAGCTCCTGCCACTTCCCCTGTGAGCACCTCACCGCACTCAGTCACATTAAATCTCAATAACCTCTCAAATTAAACCATGCCCCTTGTTTATGAGCAGTGAAATGCTTCCCTGAGCTTGAGTTACTGCGGGACAGAGGACGCTTGGTGTAGGATCCTGTAACCGGGTATCTGGTGCTTGTTTGGTTTGCAGCCAA